GGCAAAATACACCAATAGAAGATGAAGAAAAAGCTGAACTTGAAGTTGACTATGTAATGTCGGCGTCATATGATCATAAATGAAGTGAGTTAGACCTCTCCAGTTTTTTAACGGAACAAGCTGTTGTTGAGAAAAAATATAATAATTGCCGCTCTGCTAAGCCACATGCTGCTGTGTGGCCAGTGGCCATTGATCTTTTACTGCAGTCATTGATTTGCAAGTAACTTCTCTTCTCCGTCTTTATTTTGGTCCTCATCCTCTATTTGTCTTTGAAAGCAACGGAATTGAATTGGATAGAGTGGGGCTGCTGAGTTGGCACAAGCAACAATGAAGAAAATTTGTTAGAGAGTAATATATGCCTTCACTTGCTACAGTTCAGCACACAAGCTTGCTTCCTCATAGCATGTAAAAAGATTATTAAAACAGGATTTTCCTGCAAATTAGCCAAATAATGCAAATAAAAACAATAATAAAAGAGAGGTTCCTATTTTCTCATTCTCATTCTCATCTCTCATTTCATTTTATGAAATGATGATGATGGTTGGCTCAGCGGTAGCTGTATTAGTGGCAACAACGACTGCAGTAGCGAATCCCTTTTGCATCGTCTCCATCCTTGTACTGCTGCCCTTCTTATTACTAGATTAGACGCACGTGCATAGCATGTGGTTAAATATCATTATCGTTTTTTTCTATTTTCTTACTTAACTCGGTTGTGAAATATTTCTTTTAAAATTCATGTGAAAAAGTATTGTCTATATACTTATATAGTTAATCAAAAGTTAAAATTATCATAACCAAAGTCAAAATTACATGGTCAATTCACATTAAGTACAATTTACAATAAGTAGTCCATGAAGGTCAAGATCCTTTTATGAAAAAAGATAATTTTTATATAAATAATTTCATTCTCATCGCAATCCTATGTTTTCATCTTATAGATTGCATGAATTCACGGTATTTTATACCCTTTACAATTTTATTAATTAATTTTCACCTTTAATGTGATGTCCCTTGAGGCTAATAGACTCTTAAAGAAAGATCAAATACCAATAACCATGGATCTTAACTATGAGAATTTTTCCAAGGTAATATTATTATATTCTATATGTTTATGCTCTGGATTATCAAAGAAAGCTATTAAATGTCTAATTAATATATTTCATGCTAGTATTTATGTTTATCTTGGTAGAGTAACTTGTTATTTTTTAAGACATAAAATTTCTTTATAGTTAACTTTGACTATTTCATATAATTGGAGATTTGCTCACGTCTTTAGATTATGTTTTTTTAATGAGTATGAGATTCCTATTTATTTAAATATCCTTCTCCATTTCATTCGATTACTCTCGCAATTCAAAACTTTTTTAGCTTAACTGTCTTAGTTACACCTTTATTGGGACTCATCTCTATTTCTTAGTACCTAGTGGCTAGTGTTACTTTGATGGAATATAGTTATTGTAATTCAAGTCTGTCAAAATAATTGCAAGTGGTGAAGACCCTAAATCTTTTGAAATGATATATATCTAATATCTCATAATAATATATCAAAAAACTTAAACAAGACATATTTGAGTAGTTTTACTCACATAATTATTTTTAATTAACAAAGCTATTGAACATCTCAAAAGCTCGCAATTGGTGAAGACCATAAATATTTTAAAATGATATATATTGAACATCTCATGATCAAGACAACATAAGAACTTAAATGTGGTTAAAACTAATTTATACCACTTTTCGTGTGTGTCTATAAAGTATAACATTAGGAATATAAAATATTTAAAATAAAATGCATTAAGTTAGAATTTAGTTTTAAATTAAGAGCCATTATTTGAATAATTTTATACACATAATTCCTTTTACTTAACATACATATTACATACATATTGAACATTTCAAAAGCCTAAATATCCAAGTTTTTACTTTTCAAACTACCTTTTTCAGTCATAAAAATTTAAAAAAAAACTTTTCACTAAGTTGGTTGCTTATAATAAAATGTTGCATCTTTCCTTCCTATATGATATTGCAAATTATTAAGCAAATGATATATCTCATGTTTAGTACATATAACTACGCAAATAAGTAAAATATTTTAAAGGCTAAATATCAACAAAAAAATCCTGTTAACTTTGTATGATAATCAGATAATCCCGCATTACTTTAAAAATATCATAAAATCCATTAAATTTTAGGGGTTAATAGAAAACTTTTTAACTTTGAGATTTTATAAGGAAACCACTCTAAAAGCGATAATTTTAGGAGAATTTTCTAATAAAATCTCAATGTTGAGGGGGTTTTCTGATAAAATCTAAAAGTTAAAGGGGGTTTCTTATAATCACTACTTAATGAGATTTTATAATATTATATCTAAAAAAATAATGGATTAATTTTAGAAAACTCCCCTCAACTATTTTAATATGAGGAAACCCCCTCAAGTTTAAGCATATTGTAAATAACCATCCTCAACTATGAAACTTTGAGATAATCCCTTAAATTTTGCTCACTTAACTCCCTCAAATATCGGGATTGTCTATGAAAATCCCCTCAACTATTTTAATTTGAGAAATCCCCTCAGATTTGAGCTTATTATAGATAATCCCCCTCAAGTTTGAAATTTTAAGAAATCTCCATGAACTCTTCTCACTCTACCCCTAAAAGCTAACATTGTCACCCTAACACCCTCATAAGTTTACATTTTTTCACTTAACCGAAAATATTTTTTGGCAAAAAAACTCGAAACATTAGATGTTTACAAATTTAATATTTTTTTAGAGGTTTTTCGTAATTATTGGATTTTAAAGAGGTTGATTATAATTTTTATATTTTTAGGAGATTTGCTACTAATTATAGGTTTTTTTTAGGAGATTGCTTCTAGATATAGATTTTTTTGGGGTTGTTTGCACTTTTTATATTTTTTTGGGGTTTTTAGTAATTTTCTTGATGGTTCTTTGCAATTTTCTAATTTAAAGGGTTTGTTTATAATTTTTAGATTTTTAGGGGTTGTTTACAAATTATAATTTTTTAGGACGCTATTTGTCATATTTAATTTTTATTGTATTTTTTGTAAATTTCATATTTTTCACGTGTTTGTTTGAAAATTTGAATTTTTAGGTATTTGTTTTTTAATCTTTAAAATTTAAAGGAGGTTGTTTATACTTTTTAGATTTTCAATAGGTTGCTCATAACTTATAATTTTTTTATGGATCATTTATAATTTTAGAATGATAAGAGTCTATTTTCACATTTTTAGATTTTCTAAGGGTTTTTTTTTTTGCAATTTCATGAAGCCCTCAAAATTAACATAAAGGTAAATCTCACTAAACCCCCAATAATTTTACTATTTGGAACTAAATCTCAAATATCTTAAAAACTCTCACTAAACACCCAATAATTTTTAGCAAAAAATCCTCAAAATTAACATATTAATTTATGTGTAATCAAACGATCAAAGTACACCCCAATAACCCAATAAATTTTACGTTTTTTCACTTAAGCCCCAAAATTTTTTAGGAAAAAACCCAAAATAACAGTCATTTATAATTTTCAAATCTTTTCAGAGGTTTGTTTGTATTTATTGAAATTTTCAAGTGGTTGATTGTAATTTTTAGAGTTTAGAGGGTTTGTATATAATGTTTGATTTTTCGGAGGGTTATATATATTTTTGTTATTTTTTTAGATTTTTGTAAACTTTTCAGGGTTTCTTTGTAATTTTCTAACTTAAAGGGTCTATTTATGAATTTTAAGATTTTTAGGGGGGTTGTTTGCAATTTAAAATTTTTTAGGATGTTATTTATCATATTTTACTTTTTATGGGATTCTTTTTAATTTTCATATTTTTTGTATGTTTGTTTGAGTTTTTGAACTTTTTAGAGTTGTTTATAATTTTTAATTTTTGATGAAATTTGTTTGCATTTTTTTAGATTTTTAAGAAGTCAAGTAAAGATGATTGGGTTATGTATCCGAGTTGGGGCTATAAAAGAGGTCTTCCGGGTCTAAGTTAAAAAAAGGATCGAAGCCAAGTAAAGATGCATGTTGAGAGAGAGAGAGAGAGAGAGAGAGAGAGAGATGCATGTTGGAGAGAGAGAGAGAGAGAGAGAGAGAGAGAGAGAGAGAGAGAGAGAGAATCTCTTGTGGAGATCACAAGAATAGATGGTATCATGTAATCTCTAATATAAAAAAGACTCAAATCTCTCCCCATGGACATAGGCGATTGCCAATTTGATCTCTCCATGGACATAGGTTTCTCAGTGTTTTCACGTTGCTCGATAATTGATTGGTTTATGAATGAGGTGTTAGTTTAAGTGTAGACCTAAAGCTGAAGCCGATAGATGAAGCAAAACGAAGGAAACAAGAAAACTGCAGTGCGGTCGACCGCAAACATGCACGAGACTGGAAAAGTCTCTGGACTTTTTCCGGTCGACCGCGGCAGATGGTCCGGTCGATCGCGAGACCCTGTAGGCGTTTTTTGGGTTTCTATTGTTTATCCGGTCGGCCGCGACTAGTTCGGCGGTCGACCGCGAGTCGAGCTGACAGTTTCCTAATTTGTTTTGAATTTTGTTTGGGGTAGGATTCATATGTACATCTATATGTTTTCTAGGGTTTATGATAACGTGAAAAACTATCAGAAATAGTAGAAAAGAGAGAGAATCTCAGAGAAATTAATCCCTTGCTTTGAGTGCTTGTATTCATTCTTCAATTAATCAAAGAGATTGTGTGGTGTGGCTCCCGAGGACGTACGCACGTTGCCAAACCTCGTTAAATTCGTGCGTTCCCTCTTGTTCTTATTTCTGCAAGTTTTTATCTTTGATTTGTGGTGAATTTCTTTCTTACTCAACTTTCTAACAAGGTCTGGAAGTGCAAGTGTTTGATTTGATTGTTTCGAATCCCCAAAAACTAGTATCAGAGCTTCGTTCAGCAATTTGTGAGAAAGCCATGACAGAGGAAATCAAATCTAAGATCGAGAAGTTTGACGATTCAGACTTCGCCTACTGAAAGTCATAGATGGAAGACTATCTGTACCAGAAGGACTTGTATCGCCCGTTAATAGACAATGATAAGGGACAGAAGAAAGAAAAGTCGGACGATGATTGGGAGACACTGGATAGAAAGGCTCTAGGGAAAGTCCGGTTGTCGCTCGCCAAGACAGTAGCCCATAATATCTTGAAGGAGAAGACGACGGTAGGGCTTATGAAAGCGCTCGTGAAGATGTACGAGCAACCGTCTGCAGCAAATAAGGTGCATCTGGTAAAAACTCTTTTCAACTTCAAGATGACAGAAGGACGATCCTTCACGATGCAC